ACAAAGACTCCATTATTAACCTCCCACTCCAGCTACCCTGGGCCAAACCGCCCCATTAAGAAACACAAAGACTCCATTATTAACCTCCCACTCCAGCAACCATGGGCCAGACCGCCCCTTTAAGAAGCATTTTCAGGTGCAAAGCAGCTGCCCGACAAGCAGAGGGGCCATGCCGTGAAAGGCTGACACCTAGGATCCAGCCAATACAAATATTTACACAGAATGGTCATATTAGGGAAAACAGCGGCTACCAGTGCAAAGAGCTCTTCATTCACCTGGGGACAAGTATGCAGGGAGCTGCCCTTTAATATCCAAATGGATATCGACCATGAAGGGAACCCCATGTACGGTCACATGACCTGCACAAACCCAGACCTCGATGTTTGCCCACGAGAATCCATGCTTTCATTATTCAGAGGCATAGACTGACAAGGGGGTAAAAGAAGAGACACTAAATCTGGCAGATCAAGGATACCTATGTTTATAAAATGACCTTTGAAATCACATGTTTCGACGGTGGGAAATAATAAAAATGCATTCAGATTTATTTTGATGTCAGGTAATATTTGGGATTCTTCGACCCCGAGATACTTAAACTCCTCCGCTTGGGGCAGCATCTCATCCCCCACCAGTAGTGGGCAATCCACACTTTTCCGGTCAAGAACCATGGCCTCAGACTTGGAGGTGCTGATCCTCATCCCGGCAGCCTCACACTCAGCTGCAAACCACCCCAGTGCGGCCGACGACAGCAACAGGACCACCTCATCTGCAGAAGGCAAAGACTTGATCCTGAGGCCCCTGAATGGGACATCCTCCACCTCTTAGCTACGCCTACAAATTCTGTCCAGAAAAGTTATAAAACGAATCGGTGACAAAGGGCAGCCCTGCAGAGTCCAACACCCCCTGGGAATGAGTCTGACTTACTGCTAGCAATGCAAACCATACAGGGACCTGATGGCCCACAACAATGGACCTTGTATCCCATATTCCTGAAGCACCCCCCACGGGACCCCCAGAGGGACACAAAACACATATAGACTGGTAGGGCAAACTCCCATGAACTCTCCAGTATCCTTATGAGGGTGAAGAGCTGGCCCAGTGTTCCACGGCCAGGAAGGAATCCTCAATGTTCCTGCTGGATCCGAGGTTTGACCAACGGACCATCCTCTCATACCTTCCCAGGGAGGCAGAGGAGTGTGATCCCCCTGAAGATGGAACAAACCCTCCGGTCCCCTTTCTTAAAGATTGTGAACACCACCCCAGTCTGCCAATCCAAAGGCACTGTCCCCAACGTCCATGCAATGTTGAGGAGGTGTCAGCCAAGGCAGCCCAACAAAATCAAGATTTCAAGAACTCAGGGCAAATCTCATCCACCCTGGAGACTTACCACCAAAGTGTTTTTTGACTACTCCAGTGACCTCAGTCCTAGAGACGAGCAAGTCCCCCTCTGAGTCTTTCAGCTCTACTTCCTTCAAAGAAGATGTATCAGTGGGATACAGGAGATATTCTTTCCACCTCCCGACTATATCCCCAGTTGAGGTTAAAAGTTCTCCACTCCCATGCGGACGCAGATCTGATGATACAATTACAAAATCAGACACTTGGAAGGGGCTCAAAGCGAATGGGCTGATACTTGGCAGATGAAATTTAACAAAGATAAATGTAAGGTAATCCATGCAGGGAGCAGAAATATAAAGTACAGATATTTTATGGGTTCCACTGAAATAAAGGTAGCTGATTACGAGAAAGATCTCGGTATGTATGTTGATGCTTCCATGTCCCACTCTCGCCAGTGTGGGGAAGCAATAAAAAAGGCCAACAGAATGTTGGGTTATATCTCAAGGTGTGTGGAGTTTAAGTCAAGGGAGGTGATGTTACACTTATATAATTCCTTGGTAAGACCCCACCTAGAATACTGTGTGCAGGTTTGGTCACCATACCTCAAGAAGGACATTGCTGCCTTAGAAAAGGTGCAACGAAGAGCTACGAGAATGATTGCTGGTCTTAGAGGAATGTCTTATGAGGAGAGGTTAGCGGAACTGAATCTGTTTAGCCTTGAGCAAAGGAGACTAAGGGGGGATATGATTCAGGTCTATAAGATTCTAACGGGTCTGGATGCTGTTCAGCCAAATGACTATTTCAATATTAGTCTAAATACTAGAACTCGTGGCCATAAGTGGAAATTAGCGGGAGAACATTTTAAAACAAATTTGAGGAAGCACTTCTTTACACAGCGTGTAGTTAGAGTATGGAATAGTCTTCCTGCTAGTGTAGTGGAAGCTAAAACCATGGGTTCCTTTAAATCAGAGCTAGATAAGATTTTAACAACTCTGAGCTATTAGTTAAGTTCTCCCCAAACGAGCTTGATGGGCCGAATGGCTTCCTCTCATTTGTAAATTTCTTATGTTCTTATGTAAAGAACTGCTGCTCCTCCTTACCGAAAGGAGCCAGTTGAGGTGGTTTGTGCATCTGTCTAGGAGGCCTCCTGGATGGCTCTTTTGGGAAGTGCTTCGGGTATGTCCAACTGGGAGGAGACCCCGGGGCAGACCCAGGACACGATGGAGAGATTATATCTCTTGGCTGGCCAGGGAATGCCTTGGTATTCCCCTGGAGGAGCTGGAGGAGGTGGCTGAGGAGAGGGAGGTCTGGGCATCCCTGCTTAAACTGCGGCCCCCGTGACTCAACTCTGGATAAGTTGTGGAAAGTGTATGGATGCATGGAAATACACGGCCCTTCAATTAAACGCAAATGTGTGTAAGTAATTACAACTGCACAACCGCCCCCCAGATACAGCAAGTTATTGGCTAAAACAACATCCGGACCTCTGTTTTAGACTGAACTTCACCTCGATGTTCAGGTACAGAGTCTGGAAAGCAGGGAGTTACGGTGTAGCCAGTGTCCCTGTGCACGGATGGCCCAGATTTCATGCTACATCAGCATTTCACAACAGGAGAGTGGAAGTTCAGTCCCACTGTTGTATAAATAAGGATGGGATTGGTGGCTTCACAAATGTGCTTGCTGTGGAAAGTGAAACTACAATTTTAGCATACTGGAGGACACAGGAAAAGGTATGATTGTAGCCAGAAAAGGCTTTTTTTCCTGTTTTACTAATAAGTTTATCATGGCATATGCAATGACTAAAGCTGTGAAATGGTATATTAGGAACCAGAGAGGGAAAATTCAGGTCCAGAAAGAACAAATCTGGACCAAGGTTTTGTACTAACCAACCAGTTGAATATAAAGAGTTGCAGTCAGAGTACTCAGCTGGTTGTTTGAAACAAAACCTTAGTCTGGCTTTGTTCTTTATGGACCTGAACTTTCCACCTCTGATAACAACAAGCTCTTCAAATGGCAGGGGGAGCTGCTCCCTCCTAGATAATCCTGATCGCATTTTGGCACCAACAACCCCAAGAGCCCCCCCAGGTCAAGGCTCTCTGGGGACCACTGACAGCATATATTTCCACAAAGCTATTTAACACAGGCTATGATGAATGCAATTTGTGCAAGTCAGAGGTCAGTATGAACCACAGAATTTGGGGGGGGGGGGGCAGTAGGAAAAAAAACCTTGTTCTGACTCAAGAGGGTTTACAACCCCTCCCCTATCGACTGGTGACAGGTCACAGGAGCTTACAGCAATGTTGGGGGGGGATGTCCAAATCATCCCACACTCTGCCCTGCTCTCAATTATGAGTGTTAATGTTTGCACAGAGAAGCCAGAACGTGGCGTCTTTAGTAGGTAACCTGCTTGCTGACGAAAACGGCCTGTTCCTCCAAACAGCCAATCACGTGGCTGCAGCTGAATACATACAGCATGGATAAACGGGGTCAGGAGGTGCAGTGCCTGCTTGGCTCAGCATTAGAATGGCTAATCTGTGTGATCTAAGTGATTTTAATGCGGTGTGATTTTTGGTGTGAGATATGGTGGCTACAGTATCTCAGAAACAAACACTGTCCTGTGATTTTCACACACTGCAGTGTCTAGGGCTTATAGAGAGCGGATGTGATAAATGAAGAAACCGACCAGTGAACAGCTGGTATATGAGTGAAAATGACCTGGTTAATGTGAGAAGAATGGCCTTCGTGGACCTAATGTTCACAGACAGACCACAAGTGCCAAAATAAGAGCGAGTACCACAACGGCGTGAAGAAAAGCATTTCTGAAACACACAACATTGAGGTAGTTTGGAGAAGAAAGTGGGTCCCACATGTTAGACACCTAAGAAAGTGGCTCCCTGCCTTGCGCCTGTAGCCTCTGGGAACGGCTCCGACCCCCCCGTGACCCTGAACAGGATAAGCGGGTTCAGAAAATGGATGGATGGATAGATAAAGTGACCCCTGAGTGTACATTTAGCAATTATAAAAATTATTGGAAGCTTAACAGGGAACATTAGTGCTTCCATTTGTTATTTTGGAGGTAAATGCATTAAAGGTATGATTACAAAGTTGCAGGGATGTTTGTCAAACTGGAATAGAAACAGATCTGATTGATTAAACCATATAAAAACAGAGGGGACCCAAGTTTAGCGCTTTATTTCGAAACAACGAGCTCCTGACAATCCAGCGCTACAGAGAAAACACTGTAATGAAGGAAGGCGTGATGCCGCACAGGAATGGTGAATGTTTAACGACCGGCAGACTCACAGTGAGAACGGCAGCGGGGACCCGACAGATAGACGGAGAGACGGGCGTGGGGATTCTCCCTGTAAACATCCAGCCAGAAACACTAGAGCTCAAAAAAGTCCCCTGCCCATAGACAGCAAAGGCTCTCACTTTCCTGCAGTAAGACTCCAGGTCATAACAGGATGCACCCCTGCCCTTAAGTTCTATACACATTCATATATTACATAGTGGTCTACATGATTACAGTCTATACACATACTGCCCTCCTGAAGTATCAATCTGGGAGCCGCGGGGCACTGACATTGTGGATGAAAGACGACCCAGTCCTGAAAATGCAGTCAGTGTTACACAGCTGGAAAAGAAAGATGTCAGTGCTTATCTGCTAAACTGGAGATAGTCAGTGAAGGCTGCTTGGACCAGCTGGACTGTTAGATGCAGGGATAAAAGTGAGAAAAATATGTCTTCGGCAAACACCTGAAATCACTTGGTCCAAATGGAGTTACATTGGAAAACAGCTCCGAAGACTCATGGGGTTGTGGGCGGGCTCCTTTTCACTCAGTGTTGCTTGATATTTATTACTAAAGAAAAAAAGCAAGAGAGATGGCGGGAATGTCCTGTCCATGGCTTTGCCCTCTCGTGTGAGGATCTCTATGAATCGGGGGCAGGAGAACAAGGGGCCTGCACTGGCCCTCTCCCCCTTTCACCTGCGACACTGCCACTGCTCTCTAGGGGGCGCTGGCGGCCTTCAGAGGTGCGATGATGTGGAGAAGCACAGCTTCAGGGTGTAGGGGTTGGAGCCATCTGAAAAGACACAAAACACGAGTGACCATCACCCAATTTTAAATAGCAGTGACCCCCCTTTATGCTTAAGGTGTTATGCACATTTTACTCAGTATTCAGTGTTAGTGTTACTGCTTAACAAAGAATGCCATATTTTAATAATTTCTATCGAATACCTTATATCTGCAAGTACAGACAAGATTTGCACGTCCTAATCACACTAACTGAATTCTGAAAAAGAAGCCATGATCAGCTCTGCTGAACAGTCACATGTATGAAGTGATGATCGATGCTTATGCAATGATTTCCAGTCCCAGATTCATGCCGATGCAGTGACCAAGTCCTGCTCTGCACAAAGCAAGAGGCAGTGCCAAGGTCATAGAGAGCACGTCACAGCTATAATAATAATAATAGAGAGAATATATCCGTTTGTGTGTGTACAGAGACCTGCCCTGCACCACTGGAAACACTAGACAGTACCGGTCGATCTAGGTAAGGCTCCCTAGCAGCGCCCCCTCTGGATTGCTAAGGGGTGACTTCTCAGTAGGCGGCTGCATATATCGCCTAATGGATTCACCCGCACTGTCTGTATATTTACGTCTTCTGCTGCTTAACGGATTGGAGGAACATTGCCCTCATCTGTGTGCAGAGCATATCAAACTTCAATAATGGTTCATTCCCTTATATAGTAAATGCACCCAAATCGTCTACAACTATGTAAAGCATTCATTTATACGGCAGTCACGTTTTAAAACATATTTAAAGATAAAGGACCGCAAATACACTGAGTAACTCGTTGGGACTCGGCGGAAATGAAAAAGAGATATTTTCTGTTTACTTAAACACTGCAGTTATTGTACGTCTCAGCGTGTGCGTACTGAAAAATAAATATAGATTAATAATTTACTTATGTATGCATAATAAATATGAACACTGGAACCACACTGTGTTTCTGTTACCGCGTTTGCCTGCAGCGAAGACAGATATTTAAAGCAAGATCGCATTTGGCTACCCAACCGGCATGTGCCTCTGAGACCGCCGTTCCCCGGGGAAATCTCAGAGCAAACGCTCAGAAAAGAATCAGGCAGTCCGTGATTAAGTTCCAGCCGTTACGGGCTGTGCGGATAAATCTCATTTCCGATTTCCGCATCGCCGCGAACCGGGCGAGCCATACAGCTCCGGGCGCTTTCGGTTCGGTGTGGGGTGCGATCCGAGCACCGTATGCACTTACTCGGTATCCTGATCTGGTAATGGTTGAGCACCGTCAGCACCTCCACAGCATGCGTCTTACTGTCAAACTCTAACAACCCCGAGATGGTTTTTGAGCAGGCTACAGAAAAATAGAGAAGATACAAAGCCACAATGTACTCATTCTTCACAATGTGATATACTATTTGTATGTGTATGTGTGTAATGTATATATTATGTTCTGTGGACCAGAATATTATTAAAAAAACCTGTTATTTTGACTAGGGTGACCAGATAATCCATGTCAACCCGGACACCTTGAGCTAGGACAGGATTTGTAACCTACCATTTAAATTAAAAGGACCTGGATTTCACTTAAGCACCGAGTTCTTGCTGTGTGCTGATTGCATGGTCAGTCTCCTATAATCATGCACGTGTCACTAATGTCAATGTGAAACAGCTGGATGAGTCTTTCAGTCAAGGAAACAAACCAGTCAAAGCACAAGAAGAACTTAACAATTTAGCCAAGCGCAGGAGCCATTCGGTTTTAAGGTAGTTTGTAAAACCTGAAGTAGCTCAAGGTGTCCGGGATGACATGGATTATCTGGTCACCCTAATTTTGACGTTATATGGACAATTTTTTTTAGTCCCCACAAGGAGAAACTGGGTTTTACAAAACCTGTGACTGAAAGCAAAAAAATGGTGTAACCCGGGTTTAGCCCAGCTTATTTAAACCATGCCCTGTTAGGGTGTCTGTTCCTTTAAGGCTGGGTTAATAGGATGCGTGCGCCATAGCGTAGTCTGGAGGGAACATATAGGTCATGCGGATGTGGAGTGCTGTTTGGCTGGGCTGGAATTGCTAAGCCGCTCTGTGATTGGAGGAGGGGCTAGTTTGTTGGGTTTCCTCTCTCATGGTGGGTGAGAGGGTGGAGCTGGGGGGACGAATATCTCCAAGAGGGTCTAGCTGCGGACGCCTGTAGAGTGGAGCTCCACTGGAAATACGTCACCTCAACAGGAAACACGTGATCTTTAAGGACGTAAAGTGGAGCTCCGGTTAGGGTTAGGGTTAGGGTTAGGGTTAAGGTTAGGGTTTATTCGCTGTGACACAGAGTTGAGGCCACATGTTTCCTGTGGAGGTGACGTATTTCCGGTGGAGCTCCACTCTACAGGCGTCTGCAGCTGGACCCTTCTCAATATCTCCGTGAGGAGAAGAGAGGTGTAGGCTGGGAATAGTGAAAGGGAGAAGGAGCCGCGCTTGTTCCGTTGGTTGTCCTTTTGCTCACTAAGTGTATTCTGCCTGAATGTTTGAGTAGTTACTGGGGACAGGTTAATAGGAGTCTAGCCTGCCGTGAACGGAGGGGCAAAGCGCTGGGCAAGTGCGGCTCCAGAAGAGATACCAGGTGTTTTTTATTTGAGGTTACACTAAGGCTAGTGCGTGTAGCACGGCTAAATAGATAAATAATTTTTCTCCTCCTTCCTCCATTTCTTTTTGGTTTGGAGGAACTGTGATAGTTAAGACTATTAGGGTTTACTTCCCAAAGGCTTCAGCATAAACAGGGAGAGTTTGGGACGTATATGAGTCACTGACGTGGGGGAAGCAAGTGTTTCTCCGAGGCCTGCAGCGACGAGACGTCATTTCACCGGATAGCACTGCGTGGCTGCCGGTGTTCCGGGCAATTCAGTTTCCCTATGTTTCCCCTGTCGCGCGCTGATTTGTACATGGTTTCGCTGTTGTTTTCATGTCTTTTTATGAAGCTCTTGAGGTAAACAAGCCATATATTTTAAAACATCACATGCCTTTTCAATGTTTTTTCGTTTTTACAGATAATAAATGAAAGTATTTAATTCGCTGAATATAGATATTTCTTGATGAAAACGGTATAGTATTGCTTATAAGACTATATTATGCGTGACAATCTACAGTATTCACATGTAATAATGTACCTGAGTGATTTTCAGACATCTCACATACATATTTGCCTAAATATTCGGAGAAACATTATTTCCTGACATCCAGGATATTTGGTTCCCCCCTGTTAAAACAGGCATACAGCAACTCTGGGCCTCGGTACTAATAACAATACAGTATTCACATGTAATAATGTACCTGAGTGATTTTCAGACATTTCACATACCTCTTTGCTTTAATATTAGGGGAAACATTATTTCCTGATAGACAGGGGAAACATAGGGAAACCGAATTGCCCGGAACACCGGAAGAACCCGCAGTTCCTCCGGCAACGCTGGATCCCCTGGACATGTGACTTTTCCAAGCTTCACTAGGGTTGTGAGTACAATGCCTTGTCCACACGTACACGGGTATATTTTAAAACGTACCTTTTTCTATATGTCTTGGGCTTTTGTCCACACGTAAACGGCATTTAGGTCACTGAAAACGGAGCTTTTGCAAAACTCCATCCAGGGTGAAGATTTTAAGAAACTCTGTTTTCAGCGTTGACATGTTGAAAGGCTCAACGTCAGATTGTGCGCCGTTGTCCACTTTGTTTAACGTCAGAGCGAGCGCTATTTGCTGTATACATTAGGCGAGTTTGAGCAATGGCAGACTTAGCCGAAATAGTGCTTGTACTAACCTTACTGACAGGACTTCTTACATGTGTACAGATAATTGTTGAGTCACTCTTGCATTACTGTATATTGATCAACACAGGCGTTGGAATGTGCGCCATGGTTTTCAACTTAACAGGACTGGCAATTAGGCTTCTGATTGGCTAACATGGCAGTACGGTTAGAGTTATAACGCTGCCTATTTTGGCATGCTTTTGACAGCGCATTTTAGCCGTTTCTGTCACGATCCGCTCCGTTCGATCCCGATGTGTGCCACGCCCCCTCATTATCCACGTGTGCTTTCCCAATCGTGCCCAGCTGTTCCTTGTTATTTCGACTTGTCTTCTGTATTTAGTCCATGTCTGAGTCAGTCTTCCCCAGATCCGTCATTAATGTTGGTTAATGTTCGTCGATGTTTGTTGTTGCCTTGGTTCTGTTCAGTAAAACCCGTTTGCCTGCACTTCCGGCTTCGCTTGCCTGTTTGCCCGCTCGCCCGCACGTACGAAACGTAACAGTTTCATTTGTGGACGGAAACTTTTTAGAAGACAATGTTCGTGTGGACGGGGATTTTTTTTTTTAAACGGAGGAGGAAAAACACCATTTTAAAATATACCCGTGTACGTGTGGACAACGCACAAGACTGTTGGATGCCCATTAGGGGTGAAGTAAAGTGACCCGACGATATTGAACAGGCCTGCACCGGAAAATACTTTTGCTTGCTGTGTAATATTGTTTCACTGTTATTGTATATGTGATGTGTATATGTAAAGTAACGAACCTGTTTATTATGAGAAAGTAATATGTGCTGTGGATTGTGTTTGTCCGGGTATTAGCCAACCCTAGGGTTTGTGCTATATTTGTGAGCTGGGGACTGTGTTTCTGCTTGTGCTGAGTTTTGGTATTAATACCTTGGGAGGGGAATTTAGCTGTGTAGCGCAGGTTGGCATCGCTCGATCATAGGTGCTTGCGCAGGTATCGGTAAATGGGCTTTCGGACGAATTATTTCATTTTTTGTGAGCTGATTGCGCAGATGTATCTTTCTATGTTTTCATCTAAGAGGCAGTGAATAGAATTGCATCTGTTTTTGAGTTTAGTTTATACCTTTCTGTGTTATTTGGACTTGCCTGTGGCTCGTTGTTTTTTTTTTTTGGGTCAATAAAATTTGTTACTTGAAGTAGTAGTAACTCTGTGCCACTCGTTATTACCCTAACGTGCATTTACGTTTACGAAAGAACCCCATGAAAAAGTTAAAAACCAAAGTCCCGTTTCCCTCGCCCGGACTAGGGTCACCGGGGCCCCACCCTGGAGCCAGGCC